CAGCAGGACATGTATGAGGACAGCAGGACATGTATGAGGACAGCAGGGCAGTGGTGAGATGTGCTGTGATGACAGATAGCTTCAAGGTGGAGGTAGGAGTGCACCAAGGATCGGCTCTGAGCCCCTTCTTGTTTACTCTGGTGACGGACCGACTAACAGATGAGGTCAGACAGGAATCCCCGTGGATGATGATGTTTGCAGATGACATCATGATCTGTGGTGAGAACAGGAAACAGGTGGAAGAGAACTTGGAGAGGTGGAGGTATGCAGTTGAAAGAAGAGGAATGAAAGTCAGCCGTAGTAAGACAGAGTCCATGTGTGTGAATGAGAGGGAGGAGGTGGAACAGTGAGGCTACAAGGAGCAGAGGTCACAAAGGTGCAGGACTTCAAGGACTTGGGGTCCACTGTCCAGGAACATGGGGAGTGTGGTAAAGAGGTGAAGAAGAGTCCAAGCAGGATGAAGAAAAGTTTCAGGAGTGATTTGTGACAGAAGGGTGTCAGCAAAGGTCAAAGGAAAAGTTTACAAGACAGTGGTGAGACCAGCTATGTTGTATGGTCTGGAGACAGAGACATGGACAAAAAGACAGGAGACAGAACTGGAAGTGTCAGAAATGAAGATGTTGAAGTTCTCCTTAGGAGAGACAAGGATGGAGAAGATCAGGAATGAGATGATCAGAGGTACAGCACAGGTTGAACAACTGGGAGATAAAGTTAGAGAGGACACACTGAGATGGTTTGGACATGTCCAGAGGAGGGACGGTGGGTATATTGGTAGAAGGATGTTAGAAATGCAGCTGCAGGAAAAAGACAGAGGAGATGTATGGATGCATTTAGAGAGGACATGGAGGTAGTTGGAGTGAGGACAGAGTGAGCTGGAGGAGGATGACTCCTGTGGAGACCCCTGAAGAGGGAAAGATGCAGAAACTAAACTGAGACTGGTTTGGGACTGGTTTCTAAAATTGTTTTGCGACTTGTCCTCGACACTCACAGTCCGGTGAGATTCTGGTTTGACCAACTTTCATAGTCTGAGGTCATGAAGACTTTAAATAGTCTGGAAGGATCCTTTAATGGTCCCCTGAGGGACACCGGTTGAAAAGGAACAGGGAATTAGTAAAGTTCTCTCTTGATCCTCCTCAGAAATAGAAATAGATTTAAACTCAGGATCAGAAGCTCCGTGTGATGTCGTGGTGACCGTCTGAGGTTCTGACCTGGAAGAAGTCCGCTATGGTGGAGACATGGCTGGCACACGCACACTTCCTGGCATCTGGAACGTCCTCTCCAACCTGCGACAGGAAAAAGATGAAACAATAGAAATAAGAGGAAAGAGGTAAAAATAGTCCAACAGATCTTAATTTTATCTCCATCACAATCATCCATCAGATCCTCTTAGAGTCCAACTTCCTCCTCTCCGCTCTCATTTAGAGCTTTTGTTCTGGTTCTGAAACTGGTTTTATTTTTTGTTCCGACGGTCTGGATGCACTTCAGTAATCACGGCTCATTCAAAGCTCCACAAAGAAAACACTCCGAGCACCAATTAGAGAAAACGGGCTCATCGGTTCTGCTTTCAGAACCCATGATCTAAATGTCATCAGTGTGAGCGTCAGACGGAAACACAGCTGGAAGCTTGGATTTAATGCTTTATTTCTGTTTGGCCCACTTTCATTACGATCAGAACCGACTGGCTCGGCTCCCGGACCTAATCCGCCACCAGAACCTCTTCCTGTCGGACCCTTTCAGGCTGGTTGCTGCATTAATGAACAGGTCTCTGCTGGACTTCCTGCTCTGCAGCTCAGGTCCAGGAGAAAAAACCAGTAACACCAGGCAGTAATTAAAGCTCGGTCCGGCTCGTTCTCGGCACTCTGTCATTATGTCGTTTGTGAGCGAACTCCTGCTGCTGCCGGGTTCACCGAGTAAAACGTCCGTCTCCGCTCTCAGGAGTCCGGCTGCGTTCGAATGCTCTTAACGCGCTCCGTCCGAGGCCCTCGCTGCGAATAAACCAGCCCAACGTCACAAATTATTCATGTTCCTGCTTTACTCCTCGTGTTGTGAATTAAAAAGACAAAACGTAGATGTTTAGAAACTGAGGAGGTGATTTTAATCGTTCTGTTTGGCATGGTGACTGAAAAGGCTGAAAACTGGTTTGAACAGGCGGCGTGCTGATGTCGCTGAAGGATCTGAACCGTGAATAGTTGTAAGTTTTGGAGATGAGTGTTTTTCTGGACTGGAATTAAACAGAGAATGAAAGAAACCTAAGTGTTTTTGGTGCAAGATGTTCAAAAGGGCAGGAGGTCCACTGGCAGCACAGCGTCACAGACCCTGACGAGTGGAGGGAACCGTTTTATCCACCAGATGCAATGGTGGAGCCATGGGGGGGACAATGGTGGGCTTGGCCCTCAAAGATTAATATTCAGCCACCCCAAGGGCCACCCCAATCATTTGAGGAAACTATACTTTTAAGCAATATAAAAACTAGAAAGCAGAGTTTCATCAATTGATTGGGTTGACCATATACTATATATATACTATATATATATATATATATATATTAGTATATGGTGGCACTGGCAGCCATCTTGGATTTTGACGTTGCAACCCAATTATTGATGGTGACCTTTTACTCCTAGATGTATAAAAACATCAACGTTTGGAGCTGTTCTGGTCAAACATAGACAATAACAACATATGGAGCTTTGGCTGTGCGTTGTGAATGACTCTCAGCTACTACCAAACCAAATGGCACAAACACAACAGTTGGACTTGACATGGCTGAACTGGTGATTTGGTAACTTGAACCATTTTTCCAGTCACACCTCTTCAACTTAGAACGGGCGTTTCTGAAACTCAGAGCAGGAACAAGGTTTAGTTTTCAAACAGCGAATGTGTGTTTGAGGTTTATTTTCTAGTCTGCGTTTCTGAAACTCAGAGCAGGAACAAGGTTTAGTTTTCAAACAGCGAATGTGTGTTTGAGGTTTATTTTCTAGTCTGCGTTTCTGCCTGTCACAATATAAGACCCCCTTCAGAGTGAGACACAAGTGTGGTTGCCATGACGACCCTAATGAGTTACTGGCGGCAGCTTCTTTTGGTCTTCTCCAGTTCATACATGTAATCCAGCTGACAATGTTACAAAATAAAAGTCTTTCATTTCTGCTGGGCTTCAGAGAAAAACGTTGACGGGTGTTGGAGTTTATAAAGAACGGTTTAACAGTCTGAGTACTTTTCTAGCTCAGTAACAAACCCAGACCTGCTGAACCTGCAGACCTGGACCGGACCAGTTTCAGGTCGTTCCCTTTATGACAGACTGTTAATTTGAAAATAGGCTGCGACCCTTGATGACCCGATGTTCTGGTTTTGTGTCGGGCAGTGCAGCGACTCACCCAGTTGATGAGGATGTACCGCGGCAGCGCGGCGGCGGGCTCCTTCAGGCTGCAGAAGCCGTACATCACGCTGCCGTTGTCGAAGGTCAGCGTGATCTCTGCCAGACCGCCTCCTGCAGAACCAAAGGTCCAGTTAAACCCAGAATGAAACCCAAGAATTCATCATCTTCCTCTCCACGGTCGCCCTTCACCTCAGGCCCAAAACAAAAGACTGAATCCAACATTTACTAATGAGTGACTGTTCACGCACGCCGTACCACGACATGACGTCTGCATGCAACATTAAAAGAAGTGCCTTTAATCTGTTGGGATTATTTAATGCAACATTATCAGCACAGATGATGGATCTGTGCCTGACAGATCCCGTCTCAAGCAGACTGATCAAAGAGGTGGTGTCTGTGATTAATATCTACATTTAGGATCTGCTTAACTTGTCTTTAATCACTGGTTCTGTACCACAGAGCCATACGGTTGCTGTGATTGAACCTTTGTTTAAGAAACCTGTTCTTGATGCAGGAGTTCTGGGCAATTATAGATCTTTATCCAATATACCAATTATCTGTTTTTTTTTCTAGAAAATAATTAAGAATATTTGTGTGAATATCTGGGCAGAACTAATCTGTTTGAGGAGTTTCAGACAGGGTTTAGAGCTCCTCACAGCACAGAATCTGCACTGGGGAGAGTAACTAATGATATTCTCATGGCCTCTGACAATGGTCAGGTGTCTCCGGTCCTGTTAGACCTCAGTGCTGCATTTGATAAAGTTGAAGAGACTTGATTATGATGTTGGAATTACAGGAACAACTCTAAATTGGTTTAAATCATACTTATCTGATAGATTCCAGTTTGTAAATATAAATAATGAACCTTCTTCATACACCCAAGTTAGTCACGGAGTACCTCAGGGTTCAGTACTTGGGCCAATTCTCTTTACTTTATGCTTCCATTAGGTAAGGTTATTAAACAGAATGGGATAAAGTTTCATTTTTATGCTGATGATACCCAGTTATATTTATGCATGAAACCTGATGATCCAATCAGTTACTTAAATTACAAAATTGTCTTAAAGACATAAATGCCTTTACTGTCTGTTATTAAACTTTGAAAGTACAGAGGTTGTGGTTTTGGACCTGAGGATAGAAACAAACTTTGTAGCCTTTCACTTCCTCTGGATCACATTAATTTGTCTTCCAGCTCTGATGTTAAGAACCTTGGTGTTATTTTTGATCAGGATGTCTTTTAACCTCCACATGATTTCCTTCACCTGCGTAATATCACTAAAATTAAAAACATGTTGTCCAAAAATGATGGGAAAAAAACTAGTCCATGCAGTCATCACTTCGGGTAGTCTTCATGACCAGGAGGACTGAGAGGCCCGCCGGATCTGAGAGCAAGCTGGATCCAGGTAGATGGATCGGTATCTGTGGGCAGATTCATCGGATTCACTGCAGGAGGTCCTTCCTGCCCACAGCTATCAGCATCTATAACAACTCTTGACTGAAACCAGGATGATGAGCTACATCAACACTTAATTTCCCTCTGGGATTAATAAAGTATTTCTGAATTTGAATTGAATTGCTGGAGTTCTGATGAGAGTCACAAGAAGAGATCAGATTTCTCCAGGTTCAGTTTCTCTCCACTGGCTCCGTCAGAATTTAAGATCTTACTTCTAACATACAAAAGCTCTCAACAACCAAGTTCTATCTTTTAGATAACTATATTTTGTTCCATACTTTCCTAACAGAGCCCCTCACTGTCAGATTACAGGTTTACTTGTGGTTCCTAGAGTTTCTAAAAGTAGAAAGGGAGGCACAGCTTTCAGGACTCAGGGTCTTGTGGAACCAACTTACAGTTTCTGTCTGTGAGGCTGACTCTGTCCAAGAGTTTCCTGTTTGATAAATCCTATAGTTAGGATCAACTTGGGTTTCCTGAGCTATCCCTTAATTTTGATGCTATAGATTTGGACTGCTGGAGGACAAACTGATCACATCTCCTCACTCTGCTGCTGTCTTTACTTGCAGTACTGTTCATGTTTGTATTTGTAATTATTTCAGTCAACATGTTTTTCTTTGTTGTACTTTCCAGAGAAACTATACCTGGACCATAGAAACTATACCTGGACCATAGAAACTACACCTGGACCATAGAAACTACACCTGGACCATAGAAACTATACCTGGACCATAGAAACTATACCTGGACCATAGAAACTATACCTGGACCATAGAAACTACACCTGGACCATAGAAACTACACCTGGACCATAGAAACTATACCTGGACCATAGAAACTAAACATGAACCATATAAACTACACTTGGACCACAGAAAAAACACCTGGGTCATAGAAGCTACACCTGGACCATAGAAACTACACCTAAGCCTCTTTGACATTGATATGTGTGACTCTTGCTGGTTCTCCTCTTCCTGGTTCTTCTCAGGTGGAGGTGATTTTCCACTGTGACTCGTTTCCTCGTTTCCGTGACTCGTTTCCTCATTCTGTGACTCGTTTCCTCGTTTCCGTGACTCGTATCCTCATTCTGTGACACGTTTCCTCATTCTGTGACTCGCTTCCTCGTTATGTGACTCGTTTCCTCGTTTCTGTGACTCGTTTCCTCGTTCTGTGACTCGTTTCCTTGTTCTGTGACTCGTTTCCTCGTTCTGTGACTCGTTTCCTCGTTTTGTGACTCGTTTCCTCATTCTGTAACTCGTTTCCTCGTTTTTGTGACTCGCTTCCTTGTTCTGTGACTCGTTTCCTCGTTTCCGTGATTCGTTTCCTCATTTTGTGACTCGTTTCCTCATTCTGTGACTTGCTTCCTCGTTCTGTGACTCGCTTCCTCATTCTGTGACTCGCTTCCT